TTTAGGAATTATACAAGATCCATAGGAGGAAAGGGAAGGGTTCTGAACAAATATTGTTCCAAAAGTTTATTTGAATAACTAAAATATAATTATATTCATTTTTTAACATTTTTTCAACAATGAATTTGTATTCAAGATAGCAAATGGTTGTTATTTGGTGACTCAGAATCTGTATAACAGAATCATTCAAATTACTATCTTGATGGTTAAAAATAGAAGTTACAATAATCCAGTGATTTTTTTCACTGCTACATAGATTGTTAATTATATTTGTCTGTCATTCATGCTAAATTGAAATTCAGACAATATATTTTTCAAGCCTTTAGAGGTGAATATGAGGGATTGGTTTGCTGTGGAATAAAGTTATTTAAAATCCTTGAAACTTTAATAAGTGCTTTGTTTTTGTTCTTTTTTTAAGTTCTAGCATTAAGCAGAGTTTTTAGTACACAAATCACCCAAATCTTTAAGGACTCTATATTTTTACATCTAGTAGTAAAATAAAATTCTTAGATTTTTAAGCCTAGATGGGCAGTTGAGTTAATTTGAATGGTAATTCAAGTTTGATCATAAATATAGAGTAGTTCAATTTTGATGAAATGCCTGTTTGAGAATGTACAGCTAAGAACTGCTTCAAGTTATATTAAAACCAGAGAGCCGTGTAAAATATTAACATTATTCTTAGAGATCTCCTACCCAGAAGATATGTCTTTTTCTTGAGCTTTGTCGCTGGATGTTGACATTGGGTAACATTAGTTTTTGGTGGGGGAACCCTGCTTTGAGAAAATATTTCAGGAATTAAAGTTGGCAGTTCCAGAGATATTTTTCAAAGCAAGCCTGTCAGCATCTTCTAAAAATCTATTTTTCTTTTAGCTTTAGAAAAGCTAACATACGCAATTTGAAATATTAGTGTAGGAATTTACACTCTTTTAGCATCATGTACTTACCGATGTCTTTGTAGCTTTTATCTATCTGGAGGGGAAAGGGAGGAAGGTGGATATGGAAAGCGCACCAAGCTATCTTGTCTCTGTATACAGTGATTCCAGTGCAATCAAGAAAACCCTTTGACAACTAGTTTGGAAGGACGTTTGTTCAAAATGGGCATACAGGTCTCATTCCACAGTTTATAATGTGGGGGGGTTGGTTTTCCTATGAAGCTGATATGATTGGTCATTTGATCTGCAGGGGGGCCAATTAGCTGTGGTCATGTGGAAAAGAATGCTGATTTGTTAGAGCTTTCTTTACCCAACACATACCCTAGCAGCTGTGGAGAAATCCACAAGAACTTATTTGGAGAAAGGGTGCATTTTTTTCTCTTAATCAGGATGGGGTTTTTAGGTTTGCATAATCTTACTTAAGGTTTTACTTGGAGGTTGATTCAAAGGAATGCAATTTCTCAGAACTGTTTTCCATTCAGCTTTTGTTGTGGTAGCCATTTGGAGTTCACACTTTCAGACATACATTCTTCTGTTAGGCAGATTGAGGTGAAGGTGTGCTTTCTGTTTCACTTTCTTTACGAATTGTTGTAGTCATATCTTGGGATTTTATCCAACCACACCACTTTTATGGGATATCAGTGTAATATAGGTCAGGCTTACTAAGTAGTTTTAAGTAATTTATGGCATAATTATTATATGCAAGGCCTGTATCTCCAATGGATCTTTATTTTTCCTCTCTAATTAAGTCAGCATTGCTCTTAAGCTTGTTTCTATATTGGGGTTAGTAATTATTTATTGGATAAGCATTGCTAGGATCGAAGAATCCTACAAGAAAAATGACCTAAGAATTTTGCTGTGAGAACAATGAACCATAGATTTTCACAACATATGCTGTATGGAATTAGTTTTTACACTTAAAAAGTGACTAGAAACTATGAGCTGAAATGTCTACCTTCTAACACCTCTTGCATGATTTGTGAAGGTAGCTTTGTAATGCAGTACAGCATTTCACATTTTTCCTTAGTTAGCTGCTGATGTGAGGACTTTGATCGAACGTCAGACCTAAGAGGATCTGAGAAACAAAGACTGTGATTGTTTGCAGTAAAACTACTGAAGACCTGCTGTGAAAATTATTAATGTAGACCAATATAATGCTACTTAGAAACTGAAATCTCCCTCATGTTTTTCCTTTTTAAAAACCCTACAAAATACAAAACATTAATTCTTCATTTCATGAGTAGAGAACATTTCAATACATGTTGAGGCACAGCACCATAAAATTGAGACATGCATTGTGACCTTCATGGCCACAGGGACAAGAAGATACTTTTTGCTAGACTGTTCATGTTGCTTATTGTCTTTTACCTTGGGTAACATTGCTTTGCAAGCAAAAAGAACAAAGTGCAATGCCTGAGTATGAAGGTTGAGGTGAATGGGTTAAATTATGGAAATTCAGGTTTTTTAAACCCTGAGGAAGCTTAGTTCTAGGAAAAAAGAGCACATGTTCATGAGATAACTCTAAGGAATTGTTCAGAGACAGAGATGGATAAAGCTGAAATGATGCTTGACAAGTTTTGCTTTAGTAGCACATTGGCAATCAGAGGCACCGTCTTTTAAAACCCTGTGTGCATTGATTCATGGGTGTGCAAGAGACTTTCTTCAGCTAAAAAAAGTTCCTCCTCCAGAGCCTCACAAGAATGCCTTTTCTTTTAGGGGATTTATTTGCACACTTCTTTGGATTAAAACCTATGTATCCAGCAATTAAAAGTGCTTTGAGGAACTTGAAAACCTGGTGTTACTACCATGTGATATCCCAACATGAGAGAGATATCAGGAAAAAATTAGTATAGTAGAGAACAGTATGGGCATTGTATATCTTATAGAAATGTTGTTGACATTATTATTTGCTATTCTAGTAAAAAAAAACCCCTCAATAAACAAGTTCTCAAAAGATTGTATTCCAGAACATCACTTCAGTACTTTGAAGTTAGCCCCTTTTAAAACTTCAAATTACATAGCTGTAGACTTTGTTGGCTGGATGTCTTTGTTGTATCTGAACTTTTCCATAAACACCATCGTTGGCTTTGGGTCAGACATGGAATGCAGGTGCCCTTTCACTGCTCCTTCTCCTCAGGAAGTCCAGTCAATTAGTTTGAGGCAAAGCCACAGATCTTTTTCTTTTTTCTTTTCATCCTGAGAAATCATGGCCAAACACCAACCACTGTGCCAAGTAATTTAAACCCAGTAAAATGGACATATTATTGGTATAAAGTATACGCATATTTACAGAACTTTGGATTCTGTGAAATGTGTATGAGTGTGAAGCTACTTTGTACTTCCTCCTTTTTAGAAACTTAAGAATGTAATACCAGGGTCATAGTTGGAATCTGAATTATTTCATCCTCTTCTGTTTTTTTCCCACTTTTCCATCTGCTTAAGCTTTGAAATCTGTTGTTACCTATTTATTGAAGAAACTTGTGTTCTCTTACAATTAGGAGATGCACAGCCTAATTTTAGGCAAGTTCATTCAAAAATAAGTCCCACTAATTTCAGTGTGATTTTTTCCCTAGAATGTCTGCTTAGAATTGCAATCTTAAGCATTGGTATGTTGCCCCCTCCCAATTTCCTTCTAAGTTTTATGAAATCCTAATTTATAGGAATATCACTGAAATCTTTCTGTAATGCAACTTCATAGATTACTGGGGTCAGTGCTTGGCAAGACATCACATGCCAGAATACATAGATCATGCTATTATTGCTACTTTTTATATTTATTCCCTGCCTTTTTCCCTATCGAGGAACACAAGGTGGGGACATAATTCTCCTCCTCCTCCTCCTCTCAATCTTATCATCACAATAACACTCCTATGAGGTAGGTTGGGCTGAGCCTCTGTGCCTGGCCCGAAGTCACTTAGTTGGCCCCATGGCTGTTTGGGAACTAGAGCCTGCATCTCCTGAGTCCTAGTCCTGTTCTCTGCACCACTTCACCACACTGGCTGTCTGTTAACCACTTATGGATTTTTTATACTTCATTGCACTTTTTTGACTTACAGGGATGCAGACAATATCTGTATCCTCCAGACCAGATTTTTCTGCTGCCTGTGACTTTAGCTAAAAGCTGTAGGATAGCTGGAGGGAAATGAATTTTCCCAGCAGCAATATGTTCCCTGTTGTAATGTAAAGTATTTTGAATGGGCAGTTAAGACTCATTTGCTGACCTGCTGCTGATAGAGATGATAATTGCTGGAACTTGGACTCTACTTGGAGGTGTGGCTGCAGGAACTATCATGATGAATACCTGTATATCAATATTTATCACTGTTCCACTGCTTTTATGTCCCACTTTTCCATCCATAAAACAAACTAGATCCTAAGAAATGTAAAAGCATGTTTCATTTTTTCAGACTACTGTAACTTCTGTAAGCAACATCATAACTTAATAGTTATTTGGAGACTTTTCTTCTGTGTTGTTTATTGAAATGCATGGTTCTGCAGATGATAATGAAAACAATAATGCAAATAAACTGGTATTGGGTCTTAGTGAACAACTGTTGCTGAACCAAATGTATATTTTAAAGATGCTGCTTGTGAGTTTTGATTAAAAGTTCATATTGAAAAACAAGTCAGTTTTTAAAAATAGAACTTCTACTGAGTTAGAACACCTCCTATAAAATATTTATTACATTATAAATTTTGCACTGAACAGGATAATCTCTTGATAATGCTGAACTGTGGTAAAGCAATCTCATTGAACATCAGGTGGCATCTAACTGTTTATGTAAACAGACTTTTCGAATGCTCTTCCTTCACTTGTTGCAGAGTGAACTTTTGACATTCTTAAATAGTTACAGCTGTGCTGTAGCTATTGTACTAAATCTCATTTTTGAAGATTAAAATCCTAAATTTGGATTTTTGCCCCACATAAACCACAAGAATAACTCAAAGAAAATTATTGTTAGAAGCAAAGCAAGGAGACATATCTTTTCTGTTTACATTTCTGAATTATATTTTGAAATCTTTCAAAGTAATATATGCAACCTTTGTAAAACTCACTTCTCTTTGCAGTGAGACCAAACTTTGAAGATGCTGGAACTGTAACTTCAGGAAGGAAACATGATTTTATACGCTCTGAGAGCGAGAACTGGCGCATCTTCAGGGAAGAGCAAAATGGAGAAGATGATGATGGAGGCTGGAGACTTACTGGCTCACGAAGGGATGGTGAAAGGTGGCGTCCTCATAGTCCAGGTGAAAGGAAATACAAAAAGGAGAACCGCAAACTGGTCAGAAAGGCAGTGAAGGAAGGAAAATTTCTTGCAAAAAAAAATTGCAATCATCACCTTAAGTTTAATATAAATGTTTTTCTTAACTCATTGTTTCTCAAATAACGGGACAGAAGAATCTCTTCTTATCTCCCCTGACCCCCTTTTCCACCAAGTGTTCTTTTCTTGAATCTGATTTCTTTTAAGGATCACCCTAGATCCAGAGGCTGAAATATTAATCAGAAAGCTTTCTTGTAAGCTTTCCTCTTGAGTAGAGATGAAAAAAGAGTTTGTCATAGAGAATACTTCATTGTGTGCCTTCCTGACCTCAGACGTAACTGACAAATGCACAATAAAGCTGCAGTGTGTCCTAACTTAGTATTAAAACAGCTGAACCAGCACCTCATGATGCTCAGATGTGAGGGCTTTACTTAGGATATTTGCAATCCTTTTAGCATAACAACCAACAACACTGAATCTCATCTATTAAGAACAAAAAAAAAAAAAAGTCTGTCTGGCATGGATATCCTGAGGCTAAAATATTGAGTACTTTCTGCAATTTGAGGAGAAGCAGCATTATTCTTTGTCACAGAGACTGTTGCTTTATATAGAATGCAGAAAACATTCTTGCAGTTTCTTTTTAATTTAGAGGTACTCGTTTTAGCATTTCTGACTAATGATGGAAGTTGGATCTGTTGATTTCTAACTGATTTATTAAACAATTTTTAGTTTCATACATAATCAACTGGGTGTCACATTGGCTCCAGAAAAGTATGGGGCCAGCAAAAGACATTTGGTTTTCTGAAAGCTATATTTCTAAAACTGCTGATTCCCTTCCATGCTATGGAATAATATTAAATGTAGGTACAAGGATCCATGATCAGCTTTTAAAAGGAACTTTAATTAAATTAACATACTACCTTTCCTTTAACAGCTCAATACAGTGAATAAGATTTCTTTCCTCACCTCACAACTGTGAGGAAAGTTAGGTTGACTGGCTTAAGGTCACCCAGTTAGCTTCATGCATGAGCAAAGAACTGAATCTGAGTCTTCCCGATACTAGTCTAAACTCTACACCAGCTTGGTTGATATTAACTTTCTTTTTGAACTGCACAAATTTCTTTGGGAGACACGAAAGAAAGAACATTTTCCTAGCAATATTAAAATAGAAGTGCACAATTTAGTAAGCACTGGTAGAAAGTACCCTAACCATTTAGCATATATAGCTGAGTATTCTAGATTTCTGGTTGGTCACTGTTCTCTTCCTTGATGTGTATTTTAGTAAGATTGTGTATTATAAGTGTATTATGTCTTACAGTAGTGACAGGCTTGTGTTTAAGATTTTGGATTCCACCAGCCACTTATGTCAGGCTGGCATATTGGTGACTGTATCATGTCTAAGCTAGCAAACTTAGTGGCTTATACTGAGCCACATTTGACAGATTCCATACTCCCAGAATCACATGCACCAACTCACCTGGAAACTGTACTTTTTGTAGGCTGTAAAGAGATGCATCAGTTCCAGCAGTCACCACCTGCCACTCCCTCTCTGCCTCATTCTCATGCAGGCTTAGTCGCATTTGCGCAGCCATTAACAGCAAAGCTTAAATATGAGCTTGTCAGCTGCAAATCCTTTCACAGAATTATTGTGCTAGCAGGCTACTTCACCATAGTGACGTGCAAAACAAGGGCAAATGCAGTAAATAGAACTAGTAACCACGGATTACAGGCTATATTTCAAACCCCAGAAAAGGAAATTCCTTACTAGCAGACAGAGAAAGTAGGCAAGCAGTTTGAGGGGATGCTTTGCAGGACTGGTGGAACAGTAGAATTCATAAGTCTGTGTTCTCAAAGGGAAGCATAAAAGCATTCTGCTAAAACCCTATAAAATGGAGTTGGATATCATGGAGCCTTCTAAAATAGTCTCACTAGTGAAGACTGCCCCCTGTGGCTGAACAGATTATGACATTTAGTGATTGTGCAGTAAGTAAGCTTGTTGTAGAATTAACTCAATTAAATTGTGTTAGTCCTTGAAGGTTTGGTCACTTGGAATTGGGCTGTGCAATTATTTACATTAATAATATATGGGTTTAAGACAGTGGGATTAAAGTGGGCACTTTCTGAAAAAGAACAGTAGTGGTGATACTTTATAAAATGCCTGTTTCAAGGTGGTCTGTAGACTGTAGTGGCGTTCTGAAGTTCTGTCACTTTGTCCTCTCTTTTCCCTATCCTCTTTTCCTCTATCCCTTTCTCCTTCCAAACAAGTTCTTGCCCTCTGGAACTCTTTTGTAAAGTTACTTTCCCGCCCCCTTAGACGGCCCTCGTTCTGCAGGCTGGAGAGAACAGATGGAGCGACGGCGACGGTTTGAATTTGATTTCCGAGATCGGGATGATGAGCGGGGTTACCGAAGAGTGCGATGTGGCAGTAGCAGTATGGAGGACGATAGGGATAGTCTTCCTGAATGGTGCTTGGAAGATGCTGAAGAAGAAATGGGGACTTTTGACTCATCTGGTGCATTCCTGTCCTCAAAAGTGAGAAAGTTTTCTGTGGACTTGATTTATTGTGACCTATGTTAAATTTATAACCAGAAGTGTAAAGATTGGTGCATGTGTTCTCCTTAGAAGGTTCAAAAGGAGCCAATTCCAGAGGAACAGGAATTGGATTTCCGGCCAGTAGAAGAAGGGGAAGAGCAGTCTGATTCAGAAGGGAGTCACCATGAAGAAGCCAAAGAACTAGATAAGGTCCATGTAAGGGAAGCAGTTAAGACTGAACGAACAACAGTAGGTAAGAGGGGTTTCTGAGGCTTGTCCCTTACATATTGCTTCTGCCTCCCAGATCAGTTAAGTGAAGTTATCAATCATTTCAGAAGTAGCAGAAGAAACAGTCAAAGAATCTTCACCATCCACCAGGTCAGGAACTCCACCAAAAACCCAGTCACTGGAGCCATTAACAGCAAGCCTGCTTGAACGGAGGGAAGACTGTGTTCCAGATGTAATAGAAAAAGCAGAATATAAAGAGAACCAAATGGAAAATATCCCATCAGCTAAAGTGCCCAATAGAGAAGGTAAGCAAAACATTTCGATAAATACATTAAGTTGTAGTATTAAAAGACCAACTGAGAACTCAAGAGTGATTTAAGCAGTGTGGAAAGTATGTCAGCATCTTAACTGTCTCACTGTGACAGTTTATTCAGATATTAACAAAAACTGGATAGAAAGAAACTCAGAAACCTAAGGCAGCTAATGTGGCCTTATGAGTGCACACTAGAGAATGTTAGGTGTAAGAAATATTTTATCCTTGTTTAAATAAGAAGCACATTTCAAGAGAAAATAACATTTGAATGATAGAGAAGCCAGAATTTAAAATTTCTGATGACATAACAGGTCCAAGGGCATATAAAGTAATTTTATCTCCATTCTTTTCCCTCAGTAGAGCCAGCTTCTACTGTCCAGCCTTTACCACAGATTCCTCCAGATGCAGCTTCCCCTGTTCATCTTTCTTCTTCAGAGTCTAATCCAAATTCTGCCTTAAGGCCTATTCAGACATCAGTTACAGCAGCTCCAGGCATGGGGAATATTCCTGCTGACCCTGATGATGAAGAGGGCCTCAAGCATTTAGAACAGGTAGAGCATCTGTGTGAATTATAAATGTTTTTTTAATGTGCTTTTGCTAGCTGCGTTTTTCCAGAAACTGGAACAAAATGGTGCTTTTTTCTTGCCTAGCATTTCATTTGTGTTCTGATCTTGTTCAAGCCATTTTGAAAAAAAATCATTTATTACATTTCTGTATAGCCTAACAGTCGGAGCTCTCTCAGTGGGTTACAAATTTTTTTAAAAAGCAATGTGATAAGGATCAGCAGAAATATTTAGATAATGGCTTAGATCCAGAGGATAACTATTTTTTTTTTCAACCCTACCTGTATCCCAGCTGTAGCCCTCATGTTGCATCGCACACCATTCTGTAGAGTATCTCTTTCAAAGTATAAGGAGCTGCAGCAGGAAGAGTGGACAGGAAACTTAGTATGAACAGCTTTGCCTTTACAAGTATGCTGGATTTGATGGCACAGTGTACATAATTCTTAATAACCAGAGTTGCCGCCTCTATTCTGTGATTATTTATTTACTTATCTATTGCATTTCTGCACTGCCCCATAGCCTGCAGGTTCTCTGGGCAGTTTACAAATATTAAAAGTCACATATACAATTCATAAAATTAAACAGTAAAGCAATACAACAAAGCAACAACCACACAACAAACAGTTGTAGTAGTTATAATAATTTAAACCCTGAGCACAGCAGCAGATTATAAAACAATATTTTAAACTGGCGCAGCAGATAAACTTAACTATTAAAATAACTGGAAAATAAAAAGGTGTTTACCTGGCACTGAAAAGATGGCAGGCATACCTCTCTGTGGAGCATATTCCAGAGATGAGCCAACACTACTGAAAAGG